GGGGGGGGAGACGGATGTATCCCACTCAGACCGACTTGGATTTCCAACAACGATGCAGCTCGTCTCCAAAGTGATCTAAGACTGAGTTGATGGAGGTGCAAAACACGTTCAGATTAATGTGAGGCAGTGTTGTGAAATGAGGCGCTCGTCAAAATAATGAAAATGAAGAAACTGACAGTTGGGTAATTTTTATCGAATTTTTGTTTTTTGGCTTAACACCATTGTTGTCCAATTAAAAACACTTTTTTTGGTGGATTTTACAAGAAAAACGTTGATTAAAGGCACAAAAAATATAAGTTTTCAGTTTCCACGGACTATCAAGCTACAGAAATAACCAAACGTTGGCGGCCTTGTTCGCGCTAGTTCTACCTTTGAAACCACTGACCCCACCTTCTTCAATCTCCAATATCTTGACTTCTATTCATCAAGATAGATGGGCATTTGTTCCGCCGATAGCAAGACAATTGGACAGGTTTTAAGATGTTACCAATAAAAACTCCAACGGCCAAGCATTATTGACCAGCGCCTGATTTCACCACGCTGTCACACAAATGTATACAATGGTATATGTGTCACGCACGACGCAGTGGAATCTGGTACTCGTCAAATTTTGGGCATATGGAAGTTATTTATATTATCTTAAAACCTGTTCATTAACTTTGCTTTTTTTGGTGAAAAAAGTATCCATATATATTAAATAGAAGTCGAAATGTTTGCGATTGAAGGTGGTCAGGGTTGCCTGGTTTCAGAAGTGAACCTAGTGAGAAAATGGCCACCAAAGTGTGGCGACTACCATAGCCGGAGAGTTCTTGGGAAACTGAAAATTGACATATTTGTGTGTCTTTAAACAGTGTCTTTCAGTAAAATCCACAAAGAAACGCGTTTTTAAAAAAATGGATATAAAAAGTGTTAAGCCGCACACAAAAAATTCGATAAATATTGCCCAACAGTCAGGACAAAGCCAATTTCTTTGATTTGACTATTTTGACGAGTGCCTGGTTTTACCACGATGCCTCACATACGTTAATCGTTCGTTGCAACACTGTAGGGTTACTCAAGAGACATGACCAATAGAACTGAGCCAAGTGAGAGAATTCCGTACTTGTACTAAGAGCCCTTCCCAAGGAAAGAACCCATCACCCCTGTATCTTCACGACTACGAGTTCGCTAGCTTAACTACGAGCGTACTAGACTACCCACGCCACATTCAGACAACATCACATCATTTTGTGAAGGTAATGTAAGGTAGGGCTTCCTGCGTCTGTTTCTAGTGTTGATAGGGGCGTCAAACCCATACCATTTCACCATTTTTGAATCTGTTTCTCTGACTGTTTCACAGAATGTCAGATTAGTTGGTCTTTATTTTCAAACCAGCGTGCAATTATCCCAATCTGTTTCTTAGTCTAAGCATTGAATGTTGTTTTCAAATTCATTTATTTCGATGTTTTCCTTACTATTTCTCTGGCGCTCACATGACCTTATGCTGTTGTGAGCGCCGTAAAACCCTCTACCAAAAAAAATTGCTATTTCTCTCAGTTTTCTCTAAGACATCCCCATGTTCACAGCAACACATGCACCATTCCCACCCCATGCTATTATTATCTACTTGAGTCCTTAAATTTTTGTGAAAACTAGGACTATCTTATCAGCACTGAAACACGTTTCTCATCAACAGCTTTCTAATTATTCACTATTGCGTCGGGATTTTTTGCCCATTTGTACTCCATAATACATTTATAGTGTCTATTAACTTTTTGACTACCAAGGCGTTTTCCGCGCTGTGACCAAGGCATTTCTTAGTCTTAGAATTTCAGAAGTACCCCTGTTCTTCTTTTGTGTCTGGTGGGCATAATTCCATCTGGAAGTAAGACATGTTATATACCAAAATGAAGGTAATTGAATGTAGAATGTTTTTAATCTAATAAATAAAAAATGAAAAAAATCATAAATCCAAACAAACATGGGAGGTAAGTGAACACAAGGTGAAAAAAATATAAAAAATAAACAAAATATTTTCAACTTACATTTCTCACAGTGTATAGCCGCTAAATCCAATCACTTCATGACTTAGTCATACTGAAGTATATCCAATTGTCTCTAACTGGGCCCAGTTTCATGCACAATGGTCAAGTATATACAAAGTTGTCGCACTTTTGGTGAAATCACTCACAATGAAAAAAAGAGAAAAAAACGCTGCACACACGCCCCTCTTTGCGAATCTTCAATCTCATCGCTGTCGCTGCTGTCCGACTCAGGTCTAACTTCATCACCTCCTACATCACTATCGGAAAGTACTGACAGTTCCCCATCAAACCTTTCCAAGGCTTTTGAAGCAGAAAAACGTTGTGACGGGGGGGGGGGGGGAACCTGATGGGTTATCAGCCATTTTTCCGTTGCTATACATGTAAACTAATTCGAGCAACACAGGGCGGGTCAAAAAAACATGAAAAAATGCCCAAAAAACAGAAGAATAAAACACATAGGTTGCGGGTTCGGGGGTTCGAGCTGCGGGCCCGACGTTGTGTCCTTGGGAAAGACACACACTTTACACGAATTGTCCCCACTTCACTCAGGTGGGAATGGGTATCCAGCTATAGACTGTGAAAGATCTTGTCAGTTTGTTAGTGTTTGAGCGCTTAACCAGCTGCTTGCACTGTAAGCTTTCCGGTAAACTGAGAATGTTTCTAAGTGTTCTATGGTCTGCTGGGGTACAAATATAGCGTAAAGCGCATAGAGCTTGCTTTCGAGTGGGGACATGCGCTATACAAATGCTATTTATTGTTATTATTATTGTTAAATTCAGTTTTTACTCTGCAGAATATTGGTCAAGGACTATTTCTTTCCAAAATGAACTCACCACCGCTTGAATAACTTTTTTAGTCCTTTCTTTTAACAGGCCGAAGAAACAAAGTCAAGGCGGGACCCAAAACAGCAAGCAGTAATCGTGAAATGTGTCAACTTAGAACTTGTCTTCTTTAGCTGTAACCTTCATGGGCTACTTGGTAGTCTTATAAAAGCTCAGACCTTGCTCACAACCCCTCTCAACTATGACGGTAGAGAGTAGCCGAAACGGAGGTGTGGATTCTACACGATTACCCCAAGACGACAGCTCGAAGAAGGTTTCGCATCAGAATGGAGAAATTTCACGTCCAGAAGGCGATAAAACACTCAATGAGAGACGTTTTTCTCAGGATACAAATGGTTTAGATAAGACAGAAGATGTACTTCTTAAACTTGATGATGGTCGTATTCAGAACAGTCCTGGCGGTCAGTCACTGGACAAGCCCGTGCCCAGGGCGGTGTCTGACACAAACCTCGCGTCCGATGCAGCTACAACGACACAGTGTGGCGACCAGAACAGACACCAGGGGAACCTGGCAGACGACAACACCCACGATGAAAAAGATTCTGCTAAAACTTTGTGGAGAAAGTCATCACGTGACGGATACTCCAGCCCCAGTAAACCCGCCAGAGACAGCGACGACGACGATGAAGACGGAGACGTTGAAAATGGAAACGACAGAATTTCCGAAGACCCCGTGCCATACGACAAAGGCTGGGCTTGGATGATCACACTAGGTAAGTCCTTTCCTTTCTTTTAGTGAACGGTTTTACGAGGGGAAAAATTGTTTTAAAAATTGTATCGGTTTATAGCCCCTATCAACACTATTAGGTTATTTAAGGGGCGGGACCTCCTAGTTTAACGTCCGTCTCCGATAGGACCGAGCCAAGAGGGAAGTTCGTGTAAAGTGCCTTTCCCAAGGACACAACGTCGGACCAAGCTGAGGCTCGAACACACGAACTTGCAATCTCACGATTACGAGTCCGGTAGCCTAACCACTAGGCTACCGACGCCACTTCGGTTTTACGGCACTTGGAACACAATAAGGTCATAATCGTGCCGAAAATTAGAGGTGTTACAAGAGAGTAGCAAAAGCAAAAAGAAAGAGAGACACACGACAAAGGCTGGGCTTGGATGATCACACTAGGTAAGTCCTTTCCTTTGTTTTAGTAAGTGTTTTACGGCACTTGGAACACAATAAGGTGATATTAGAGCCGAAGATTAGAAGTGTTACAAGAGGGTAGCAAACGCAAAAAGAAAGAGAGATCGGGACGATTCATGTTTGATAGGAAAGAATTAGTAAATCACATCAGAGCACCCGCCAAACATCCACTGAGTATGTCCGAAAATACAGAGAGAACATAATTATGCTATAAAAAAGCTGGCATAGACAAGCATGCTGATGGGAAACATGCAATAATATAATCGTCATAAGCCCAGGAACAGATTTAAATAGTGTTCTATTTTCATTGGAAACAAAAACACTAGTCTTAGCGTTGTGTACGAGTGTAAGTCAGAATTGTCCATGATTTGACACCACAGGCACTGTTTCCCTGGTTAGATTTGCAGAGAGAAATTTTACGACATCCGTTTCATATATTTATTTGTTTAGAAATGCCTCTAGTGTGGTGCTCCCTTTTTTTCTGTCAAACGTCTATCATCCTTATCTGTCCTTCTTTTTCGTAAGTAACACCTGCAATATTCGGTAGTTATATTTATTTGTGTTTCAAATATCGTGAAATTTTTACTCAAACTAAAATTAATATTGCTAAAAACTATCCCAACGTTTCACTTCACTAATTCCATACCTATCATCATCCATGCTCATCCCCACTCTATCATCATCATCATCTTCATCATCATCATCATCATCGTCATCATCATCATCATCATCATCAACATCATCATCATCATCATCATCATCATCATCATCATCATCATCATCATCATCATCACCATCATCATCAGCCTTTCTCAATCTTCCTTGGCAGGGTATGGCTAGGCCGCCAACACTCAACCCTATCCCATCCTTAATCTAACCTGTCACCATTGCATCTAATCAACGAGTAAAAGCTGATTCAAAAAGAACTTCACCTAACTTTCCCCCCTTCCTCTTAGATCGTTAGATGTCGAAGTAAGGAGCAATGCTCGGTGAAGGGCGGAATGGGTGGCTTTTTGTTGTAGAGGCTTTATTCTTTTGGATGATCCCTTTGACGTCATTCGGCCAAGTGTTATGTGATCTACCCCTGTGTTTGTAGCCTGACTCTGTTGTGTTATATGCTCGTGCGGATTCACCTTCACCTTCACCTATCCCGTAGACTGGATGTCCGTCGGGGCGCTTTGGAAGATTTTTCCACCAGCTTCCTCCTCTCCTTCCGGTCTTCAGTTTACCTGAGCGTGTCTTTGAGTTCCAGGCCTGTCCATTTCTTGATGTTGTCCTCCCAACTCTTCTTCGGTCTGCCTCTGCTCCTTTTTCCCTGGACGTTACCTTGCAGGATCATCTTTGCAAGGCCGGGTGAATGGGTGATATGTCCATACCATTGCAGTTTGCGTTTCATTGCCAGAGTGAGAAGGTCAGCATAAATATGGTCCGATTTCATTTTTGATTCGTTGTTTGACTTCATTATTTGTGGTGTGATCTTTGTAAGAGATACGAAGGATTTTTCGAAAGCATCTCATCTCCACAGCTTTGATCCTTCTTTCAAGGTCTGTATTCAAAGCCCAGGTTTCACACGCATACAAATTACTGACATGACCAGGGAACGCATCAATGCGGATTACTAATTGAAAAAAAAGGGGGGTGGACATTTTAAAAATAAAGCTCTTCATTAGCCAAATTCCAATTGAACGCACCAACAGTGATGACTACCGCTATCTACAAAATGAAAGCAGGCATCGGTGACCTATTTTGTCCCCAGGAGCATTTATCGTCCTGCTGCTGGTGCCCGGTTATCACGTGGTCATGTCCGTTATGCTGCTTGACATTGTGGATCACTACCAGACTTCCGTCACCATGGTAACTGTGATGCAGTCTCTCGCTTCACTGACTTTCTGCTTTTCTTGTAAGTACTTATTTTTTTGGAGCTGGGGTTTTTTTTCTTAAATATGATTTATAGCATGTTTTTATAACAAATTTTCTGTTGTTGTTGCTGTTGTTGGGTTTGTTGTTGTTGGTGGTGGTGGTGGTGTTGGTGTTGTTGTTGTTGTTGCGGTTGTTATTGTTGTTTTTGTTGTTGTGTCTTTATTGCTTTTATTGCTGTTGTTATTGTTGTTATTGTTGTTGTTGTTGCTGTTATTGTTGTTGTTGGTGTTGTTGTTGTTGTTGTTGCTGTTTTTGTTTGTGTTGTTGTTGTTGTTGTTGTTGTTGTTGTTGTTGTTGTTGTTGTTGTTGTTGTTGTTGTTACTTTTAGTTCTTTGAGTGGGTTTTTTTTTAACGTTTCCTTTTTTTAGGGGGGGTGGTCTGGGGTTGACGTTTAATGAGTCCCAGGAGAAAGGTGATGAAATTCGATTGATTTTTCCAGCATTTGTCTCGTGTAATAGGAGAACAGATATTCTACTAATACTACTTTGCGTCAAATACTTGTAGGTGCAGCATCGAACTATGAACAGGTTAGTTCTTAACTTAAATGACTTGCTTTTGAGATAGGTGTATTGCTGTTGATGTTTTATTAACTTTCAGCTAGAATCACAATCCATTCCCTCGAAGACAGAACACGATGTACCTCGATAGGAAACTGAACATTGGAAAAACGGTACTGCCAAGAAAAACCAGAAGTGTCCTTTGCCTTTTCTGACTCCTACTTTAGCGTTACGAGTATAAGAGTGGGGGTTGGCTTGTGTTCTGGTGTGGTTTACTCCTTCATTCCTGTCAGACATCAATTAATTGTCCCTATCCCTCCTCTTTCTTTTCTTTGTGTCATGTAATTAAGTCGCTTCAGTTCGTAACTGTCTAGTAAAACCCCTAATAATCCACACTAATATGAGCTTTTTGTATTTGAAGTGCCGTAAAAGTCCCTCCCTATCTAAACTATGGTCATCCTAACCATCATTACTCTTTCTGCTTCAGGTCAACTGTCGATGAACTTGCTCCTTCCTCAAACGTCTTTCCGAGTGACCACTGTCACGGGAGCGGTGGTCAACGCAGGCTGCACTTTGCTCATGACCTTTGCCCCCAGCATGGAGGTCTTCACATTACTGAACGTGCTCAAAGGTAAGTCAATAGATCAGTTATGTTACTACAGAATCACGTGATTTCTACAGCCGACTAAAACGATTAGTGATGGGAAATTCCGCTCGAATAAAGCGTCCGAAACGCGCTACGCTCTGAGTTTGTCAAAATGTGCGTGCCACGCATCATGACAGAACGCGTAACCATCCTTGCAGTTTTAACTAAAAATTCTATAATGTTACGCATTTCTGTCCGCGTTGAAACTAACATGGAAACAAAAAGCACATATAGACATCTCGTTTTATGTTGGTTTTATGATGCTAGGCCAAGAACTAATAAAGTTATCAGCCGAGGAAAAAACCCAGGGATTTTCGCATAAATCGCCATTCGCCGGGCGAGCGTGCAACCCCTTACTTCTGGGATCTTATTCTGGGGATCCGACCTGATGAAATCGAAACTAGATTGACAATATGGTCTTATGTCATCGACGTCCATGAGAGCTATTTAGTGAGTGGACTATCACAAAGTTAATACAGAATAGCCACAACTACGTTATTTTGGGGTGGGTTTTCTTTCCAAAACGTATGGTGCTATCACACAGTTGTTAGATTAACAATATGATCTATCAGCACATCAGTCTTGGAGTATAACTAAAGTGCGGTCAAAAATTCGTGGTCAAGCTTATCCTCAAATATCTCTTTAAGGTGATTCGATGTCGCCCATATTTTTGCACAGCAGTTTGTATCAATTTGTCTGAACTTAATCATATTTCCCCACAACAATTGAGGCTTGATTACAAAAAAAAATTTCAGAAATTTATACAAAATATTATAAATCTAAATCAAGCGAAAAATGGAATTGTTCTCAACACTTCCCGCTTCTCACACACATTTTGCATACGCATATGGCCTACGTCACAGCTCACCAATGATCCTTTCTTTTGGCAAAACTTGTAACATGAAACTAATTTTACAGTGAACACATTTTTTGCACTAAAGATTCTCGAAACATGCGTTCAATAAAGATGGTGTCACGATTAGAAAAAAAAGAGACGGGTTTGCTTTTAAAAGGAATATTGCCCCAGCAGTAAACTTTTTAATATCTGTAGAAACAACCCTTTCGGTTTTTTTATTAATATTTATTCAGGAATTTTCTAGAATACAGCCAACAGGTATTTACAAAAATATTGACCTGTTAATACAAGGTTAATGCAGTTTTGTCAATGTAATCATAATAATCATAACTAGTTTTAGATATTATCACGCTAATGTATGAAAGTATATTATTTTACGTTCATTTGTATTTTACTAAAAGTTGAAGGGTTATCTCTTACTAGAATACGAAATAATGAGCTTCTTTGAAAACAGTAAGGTTCTGCTTTTGTTTTTGTTATTTGGTTGGGGATTGTATGGATTGGTGGGAGTTTATTTGCTAAATTTTTTTTCTTTAAATTGATTTTTCTTTACTCTTGGAAACACCCACACACTGTTTTTCACTCAGGCATTTGTGATCTTTCCATATCGGAATCAACCTGGTGGGTGATTGGCGAGTGCTATGGACTGGTTTCCTCCTTCTTTCTCATCAAAAACTTCTATCTTTTTCATCCCTCTTCTTTCTTTTCTTTGTTTGTTCCTCTCTTGTAGTTAACACTTCGGATCTAATCTTCGGTACGAACATAATAATAATAATAATAATAATTGCCTTTATATAGCGCATATCCATGCTCAAGAGCATGCTCTATGCGCGCTTTACAACTATTATTACCCCAGCAGACCCTCTGAGAACACTCAGGAACATTCTCAGCTTCCGCAGAAGCATACAGTGCAAGCTGCGGATTTCACGCGCTCAAACACTATCAAACTGACAAGATCGTTCACTGTCTATAGCCGGGTACTCATTACCACCTGGGTGAAGTGAGGAAAATTTGTGCAAAGTGCCTTTCCCTAGGACACAACGTCGGGCCCTTGACGAGATTCGAACCCACGACCTTACGGTTGCGAGTCCGAGAGCCTAACCACTAGGCCACCGACGTGTCATGTTTATGTTGCACGTACTGTAAAAACGTTCTCAAAAACTAAACAAAAACTGAATTATTCACCTCTGACCTTTTCTCAGCTTTAGGTCAAGGCGGGATGGTGGCTCCGGCCTTGACCCTTGTGGGCCTGTACTTCCGGCGACGAAGGGCTCTGGCCTCCTCCATCTCTCTGCTGGGCGTCAGTTTCGCGTCCATCCTGGTCCCTCAGCTCACGGGCTACATCAAGGAGCAGTACGGCTTCTCCGGATGTTATCTGCTGCTCTCTGCTTACGAGGTTGGTTCTCATTTCTCAAAGATAGCAGCCAAAGAGGTTGTATATAATATAATATAATATATACAGTATATATATATATATATATATATATATATATATATATATGTGTGTGTGTGTGTGTGTGTGTGTGTGTGTGTGTGTGTGTGTGTGTGTGTGTGTGTGTGTGTGTGTGTGTGTGTGTGTCATATATATATATATTATATATATATATATGTGTCATATATATGTATATATAATATATTATATATATATATATATATATATATATATATATATATATATATATATATAAAATACACTCATTAACATTTTTAACTTCACACATTTTAAGAGCGTTGACCTCAAAACTATGCATCCAATTACTTTGAAATTTTTACACACATCAGTTTATTTAAAAATTGTTGGAACTTTAAACCACGAATTCTAAAAGATGTAGAAGTAGGAAAAACAATTAAAGAAATCTTTAAAGGCAAAGGAGTGAGACCTTATCTAATCCCACATGAAACAAATGAAGTACTTAGTGAATGGAGAGTGCAGAAACTGACCAACCCGCTCAATACCTTCAATTAACTGGAAACATTTCAAGAGACATAACTTCTACATCCGTCACGTTAACCAAACGTTCTGGAACAGCAGACTACGAATGCTGCAAACAATTATTCTTTTTATGAATCACTCGGTGGTGGCCCTTGTGGTCTACAGTACGGTGTTGGCCTCTCATTCAATAGGTCCCCGGTTCGAAACCTGACTTGACTCCTCTCTCCCTTACTCTCGACTCTTTCTACTGCTATCTTAGCTCTTTCTAATGTCACTCCAGGCTCCTTAATACTGCCACTTCCCTATTTCTAGGGTTGATAAGATTGAACACCTAGCCTTGTCAGATAAGGGTGAAAAATCTTGGTGGTCCCGAGTGGAAGATGCGCACATTAAACATCCCTTGGATTCAATTGTGTTCCTACCGAAACAGAACATTCTCACGTCAGTATAAAACCTTAACATAGAGTTCCTTTAAAATCGGTAAGTGGCCTGAAGGCAAAGGGCCGCGCTAAGTTGGAAAAACCTTTGCGTACTTAAAAATCAGTTACACCTCAGGCTGAAGAACCAGCAGTCGACTATCTCTGATGTCTTGCAGAGGAACGCAAAGACTGAGAGAAGAATCACAAAATAAAACTTAAATGTACTACTGAGAATGCTGATACCAAGATAAGACCCGTGATTTTAGAAATGTAGTTTGCGTTAACAGCTGACAGTGGAAGAGCGAATGCTATGTTCATCATTACAATGTTGATGGAGACGTGCGCTGAAATGCTGTAATATCTTTATCTACGGTTCATTGATTATTCCAAAGGTGTATTTTTAACCAAGTATGGCATGAATACTTCCAATCTATGTAAAGACAGCGAAACACTGACGGCCTTGGTCATGCCAAATACTGGCAAAAGTGTAACGAATCAGCCCCACGTCTTTCCACTCTGATGGAGTAGAATTAGTCATAATGGTGGAGTTGTGCTTCATATTCAGTCTGGCAAGGACATCTGTTCTTGATGTTGTCCACTGATATGAGAGAGACAAGTATGCTGTATTGCTGGTCTTTGCTACTGACACTATTGAAATGAGCTATTGACTATAACGCGTTGGGTTTGGGTTTTTTCGTCACCAGTAGTCACCTCCAAGCATCTTAATAATTCTTTCGGGGGCAACCCTATCACGTGCGCTGACATTATCTGTACTTCAGTCATTTCCCATTTTCTTTCTAATTTTGAACATTTTTTGTTTGTTTTTGTTGGGGGTTTTTTTACTTTGCTGTCACCTCTGGTTTCTATTGCTATATGGTGGGATTGAAGCACAAGGGGGCTATCCCGAAAAAAGCTGTTTTGAGAAAATCGAAGGTAAAGTTTTTTGGACACTTGTTCAGTTTCATTAAAAGAGAAGGAGAGTTTTCTCTATGACTAAACAAATATACACACCAATAAAACCAAACTTCTCCTATAGGTAGGACAATACCCACTTTTGGTGTAGGTCAAGATTTCTGGAAACCCCCGAAATCTGGGTAAGCCCGCTTGTCCGTTAAATCGACCATATACCGTTTTGAAATGCGCGTAAACGAAGCGGCATCACATGACCTCAAAACGACTGCCTATTTAATTGTTAGTCAAGGCAGACTGGGGGATATACGTCTCTACTCCGAGCTGATATCTCTTGTCTTCCCCTTGCACTCATTGGACGTCATTGTTTCTCCCTTTTGCCTACACTTTTTTCTCGCGAGTATTAAGACAGACTATGGTGGTTTTTAGATTTTTCCACACGTTAAAAACATGGGGCATGGTTGAGACTGCAAAAGTCCGCGAAAAGCTCATTTTCTCAAAAACTGGATATCGCTGGATCTCCCCTTGCACCCTTCATATATATATATATATATATATATATATATATATATATATATATATATATATATATATATATATATATATATATATATATATATATATATATATATACATAGAGAGAGAGAGAGAAAGAGAGAGAGCCCCCCCCCCTGCTCCCCCCCAGCTTCTAAAAAAAAAATATTTATTTACCCCCCTTAATTCCCCCCCCCCAGCCCCAAAGGTTTGAGGAATTTTCTCTTATATGTTTTCTTCTTAATCCCGCGCAAGTTTTTCAAAAAGCACCGAAAAGCACTCTCCGTCTGTTGGCTGGCCCCCCCCCTTGGAGGTTGTTAAGCGTCCCTGTGTGGGCACACGCAGCAGGCAGAAGATATTCGGAGACGTCTCCGGCGAGCAACCAGGAACTATTTGTAGACGCACTCTCGCACACAGATGCACTGTGTGGGGGGGGGGGGGTCAAGCTGCGAAGTTTGCTGCAGATCACACATATAGCCACTAAAACTGTAGGAAATTCAATTATTTTCAAGAAAATTTCAAACCTAACTGCAAAATATCAAATTATGGGTTTTTAAAAAAGGGGGATTACCCCCCCCCCCCCCCCTCACTGTAACCCCTCAGATTTTTTTACTTGGTCTAGAGGCAAAAAAGTATTTCGATTGATCTATCTCCGTCGGAGATGTCTCCGAATAGATACTGCGCGCGCAGCCCTCGTTGGTTTACGTGGGGGCCATCCCTACCACAAACTCTAGGACTATATATAACTTCTTTGATATCAACCTATTTCTTCCCATTAGGACAAGACACAAGTAAAATATCACCTCGAACATAGCGGGGATTACTCTCCCGAACCCCATGCGAAAGATTAAAATCCGTGAAATAGAACACAGTGATATACTTAGTACGTGTTTGATGCCTTTATTAACCTTACCCGCTGTTTTGGAAACCCTCCCACACCTTTATCAACACATTCTGTATTGGTTTATAAGAGACAAGAAGCATTAATAAAACCTAAACCTTTTTTAGATGTTTGAATAGCTTTGCTGCAACCAAAGTTTCCTATGGTTACTCTTCGGTGAAGAGACTAAAATTTGAATAAGGTCGATGAATGTTCGCTTTGAAGGACAAGCGGGCTAACCAGATTTCAGGGTTTCCAGAAATCTTGACCTACACCAAAAGTGGCCTTTGCCCTATCTATAGGAGACGTTTGGTGTCATTGGTGTGTATATTTGTTTGGTTATAGAGAAAACTATCCTTGTCTTTTGAAGAAAGTGAACAAGGGGCAAAAACTTTGCTTTAAATTTTCTCAAAACAGCATTTTTCGGGATATCCCGCTTGATCTTAAAAGCGACCTAATCAGTTTTTCAGTGACTTTGGGCTATTATAGAATTGCGATGTTACCAGTCCGCGAAATATGAACCATGATGTGACCAGGAAATATTGTACGTCGTTTGGACTGCACCATTCAACTCGTAAGATAATCACAAACAGGGATCTTCCATTCATTCATTCCCGGTCGCTCAGAATTATAAAACTATTACATATTGTTGCGCGTGTTGTCGTTATTTTCTGTATGCTTTTGTATTTTGTCTCTTGATAAAAAAATAGATTGTTGGGGTAGATCTAGATCTTTTTTTTTTTTAAACCGAAAACAAACTCCTCAATAAAACCAAAGCTTTAAGTGTTAAGTATCGTGCATGCTACTACTCTATCATATTAAATTGTACTACATCGTTATTGTATAATTTCCCCAGATGCAGGGCATTGTTGCTTGTGCTCTTTTCCGCTCCCTGGACAGCTACAGGCGACGAAATATTTCGTCAAAGCTCAGCGCCAAATCAACAAAAAAGACGAATGAAAAAGGCGTAAAACTGACACCTGGCGAGTATGAGTATGACGTCACGGTGGAGCTTCTTCCGGGGAACTCGCCAGAGGAGACAACTCAGGCTGTCATTCCAAAAAAGACGTCTTCTGATAATAATTTGGTTACGTCCCTTTATGAAGAGCATTTCTCAAAAACGTCATCAAAGAGGGAAAAGTTCATCACGAATCCAGCACGTTCTTATCTCATGCGAGACAATCAGAAAGGTAGTTCAATGACGATTTCTGACTTTTGCGGGCATAGAACCGAGGAACAATGTCACTGTGTGTACCGTATTCTACCTCAGGGAGCTTCAGACGATGTGAAGCAGGGTCAAGGGGACCTGGTTGCCAGCTCTGTACTCCCTGGGAGCTGTTCTGGAGACCTGACTCCCTGCCGTCGTCAAAGAAGTCAAACTGTGAATGACGCCATGGCAGATTTTGGGCGCGCGACACGCCATAAAAATCACCCATTCCCCCATGGCGCTGTGCAGCGAAAGGCCGAGTCTTTGGAGTGGCTTAGAAACCTAAATATTACACCAGTTCTGATAGCTAGCACCATAAGCATTTCAGACGGAAACTCTCACCACAGCAGCGAAGGAAAAGACCATAATCATCATCAATCGTACCCCTGCCAAAATGACACCACAAATTCCAAATTATTCACCAACTCACAAGCACATCCCAACAAGAGAATATCAAAAATTCCTCAAATTCTAAAGACTGTCATCAAATCCATCTTCGACTTCTCGGTTCTCAAGGACTGGCAGTGTTTTTCCAACTTGACCGCGTACGTCCTAGCCAGATGTGGCATGTTCATTGCTATCTATCTACCAGCCTACGCTGTCAAATCGGGTATTTCAGAAAGTAGGGCAGCCCTTTTGGTAACTATATACGGCGTTCTAGACATGTTCAGTCGAATATGCTTCGGCTACATTGGAGATTTCCACTTAATCCGTCCAAAATACATCATTTCCATTTGCTCAGCGCTTATGGCAATGTTTTGCTGTCTCGGTGAATTGTTTGACACTTTTGAGACTTTGGTGTTTTTTTCTGTGATGTTGGGAATTCTGGGAACGGTGACGCTGAGCCTCAATACCAACAACATTGTGGATATGGTGGGCATAGAGAGACTGGGAGCTCTGCTGTCTCTAGGGAGTTTGCTGCTCTCGCTCTCTCTTTCTATGCAGTTTCCTCTTTTAGGTGAGTCATTATCGTCATTGTCTTCGTAATCATCATTATCATCATCTTCAATAGCAGCAGCAGCTTCATCATCACCATCATCATATTCATCACCATCATCATCGTCGTCATCATCGTCAGCAGCAGCAGCAGCAGCAGCACCA